TTCCCTCTGATAGTTTTGGGCTGTGAAAGTGGTTGAACATGCCCCCTCTGTATTCCCGGTCCTTCTTCCACCTTCTCTCCTGCTGTTATAGTGTGGAAGATCTAGGTTTCCTCTCAGACTTCACCTGCAATGGAGTCTTGGAGGCATAAGGTCATCCTGAGAAGAGCTACTTGTGGGTATTAAATCCCTCCAAAAAGTTTTAAAAACTTTTTCAAAATATTAGACTTGTATTGGGAGATCCCTATTCCTAAATATCAGTCACACATCTCTGACCCTCACTTTTCTGCTAACATTTTTAGGATGAGTTTAAAAGTTTATTGTTAAGATCCACTCTTCATTACTGCATCTATACACATAAATGTATTAATATAAAAAAAACAACAGTTTCTGATTGCTAAGGTATTAAAAGATAAGTTATTTTCTTACCTAAGCAGTAAAAGAGTTGGTGCCAAAATTCAAACTAAGGATACTGAAGCAGTAGAGTGTATGGATTACAATAAGTATCCACACTACATATACTATAAAACTAATCCTAATGATTACAAACAAATTATGTCCTCTTACTTTGTCCATCTTTTCCTGACTAGTTCAGTCATACAGTTGTAATTTACAGTAAGTTCAATATTTTTTATGAAGAAACTAATAAGGCATGAAAGTAAGAGTGCTACAGTGAGGCAAGTAGCACAAAGAACCTTACAGACAAAGTGGGTTGAGAAATGACCTTAACAGCCACGACCTCACTTTTGTAAATTGGCACAATTCTACTGAACTTAATGGAGCTGCATCTATTTACACAAGCTGAAGATTTTGCCCAAAGAGTCCTGTTTAATTGAGAGAGGGGGCTGAGAGCATCCTAAAAGTGGGGCCAATGTGGGAGAGGAGTAGCTCATGAATCTGCCATTAGTATGTAAACGGTTTCAAAGGAGGTGTTTTGTCCTCCTAACTGTGGATGTGTTTAATATTGTTATAGTTTATAGTTGATTCTTGAATCCATACACAGAATGTGGTGTTTTCAATACTATGTATTATCCCTCATCTGGGCCTGGTTATCTCTTGTTGACAGGAATGAATTATAAATATTTTGTTCACAATACAATGCACTCCACATTTTGTCACCTCTAGAATATATTAATAATGCCACAGTATAAAAAAATACTTTTTCATTATAGATTTAGAAAGAAAGATTATTTTAAATCTGCCTTGTAAGGACAGAAATATTAATATTTTATCTTATTACTGAACAGTCATCAGTAAGATTTTTCTTGCTAATACCGTGCTAAGGCACAGTAAATTCCATTACAACCTTATCCATTATGGCACTAATAAAATAATATAAGCCTTTCCTTTGGTAAAAATGCATTCTTCCTTAGACATAATCCATTTGAAAGGTATGTTGAGTGAATTAATTACAAAATTACTTTCTGTCAGATTACTCTATATAGCAAAATAGAATTAATCAGGTGTTTTATTACTATCTGCTCTCAGATTGTCATTTCTAGATGCATACTCCCATATTTGTGGTTCAAGTCATTTTTGTTTATATATAAAATAAAACAGGGGTGCTATTATAGCACATAAGGGGTATTCCTTATTGTCATATCAGTGAATACTTATATCTGAAAAGTTACTTATTTTATAAATTCTGTGGGATTAAGTGAAGGTCTTCAGGATTCTTTCAAGTACTGGAAAGAAATATGCATATATTCAGGTATACATGTCTTCTATACTTCTGGTGGTGGAATGGAATAGGTAGTTTAATCAAGAGAAACACAACTGTGGCAAATTCTTCCACTTAAAGACTGCTTAAATTAGCTTCATTTCAGACATAAAAGTTAATCCTCTCTCAAGATGGAGTAATTTACATTGAGCAATCTTCTCTGATATAGTACCAATATGATTTCATTGCCCGTGTGTCTTTGTAAATATACAGTCGTGGTCAATAAAAAGCTGAAATTCGCCAATAGCTGTCACACAAGTATTTGAGGTAGCACCGTACTTTCCTGTATTTAGAACAGGAAATAAGTTGGGAACCTCAATTGCTCATCTGTTGGTAAACAATGCCTTTTAAATGGCAATCACTGTAGTTCAAATCCTGCTATCTTTACTTTCATAACACTTATAATGTACAAGAATGTGCCTTTAAATGGGTTGTGGTTAGGCTTTTGCTCAATAAGTCATTTTTGGACCTTAGTGATATTGTTAATCATCCTTCTCAAATCTCCCCTTTGGAAGAAGATAGTCAAGAAAGTAGGAATATGGCAGCTCTACCAATACTAATTTCACAGATATTAGTCACTATGTTTTTATGTCTGGGTGTGGAACAGAGACTGTATTATTAATATCTAAGGTTCATGAAGTCTTCCTGACAACAGGCCATGGGAAGATGTCCATGCTGAGTTATCACAGCAATCATCAGCCTTTCACAGGTGAACTGCTGCCACTGAAACCTACCAAACTTGTTGGTAAGCGGAAGAATGAATAAGAGTGTTGTGGAATCTGCACCAATTACTGGGGTGTCTGCCCACTTTTTGCCAAAAATTTTTGCACTCCAGGTGTTCTATCTACTAGTTCCTGGATTCTAAGGTAGATATGGTGGCTTACAGGAACTATTATTTTATATGGCTATCATACGTTGCTCCATGTATGGCATGGAGCTAAGACTGGATCCGTGCCCTTTAAGTCTGACCAAATGATCAAGTCTGTAGGGAAGGCTCATGATGTGCTGGTTAGAGCAGTGAACCAGAAGTTAGGAGAACTAGATCCTAGTCCTACCTGTTCTATTAACTCGCCACTGCTTGACCCTGGGCAAGTTACATAACCTCTCTGTGCCTTTGTAAAATGAGGATAATAAATAACACTTAGCCACATCTGTAAAGTACTTAAAAACCTCAGAAAAAGGTAAAAAGTATCCTTATTAAAGACCGTGGGTAAAATTTTTGAAAGCGACTAAAACCTATTGAAAGTCAGTAGAACTCAGGCCCTTAAGATACGTAGGCGCTTTTGAAAACTATATCCTTTGAGAACAGTGAGCTATGTCTAGATATTGAACTCTAACCAGATAAGAAGAGATAAAGATAAGACAAATTGTCAAGCAGTACAGACTAATGTATACTCTTTTTTAAAAAAACAGGCCCTCTTTAGGTCCATTATGGTTCCTTGCCCCTCCAACAAAATATGTGAAAATTTAAGGACTTTTTTATGTCAACAAAGGTTCCATAAACAGGTGTCCTATAAGAATTTTCCCTTCCTCAATTATTTTTTTAAATATTTCCTATGGCTAAAAAAGGAATACTGTAGAAAGAGGTCCAACCAGTCTTAAGAAACCCACATAACACATATTATATCCTAATATCAACAGGTTCAGGAAATGAATAATTATTGTTTTTCTGTTTTTCTCTAGGTGTCGTTGGTTAGTCTAGTAGCCAATGCCTTGGGCTATTCCGAACTTGGTGCCATTAAATCGCTTAGGACACTAAGAGCTTTGAGACCTCTAAGAGCCTTGTCACGATTTGAAGGGATGCGGGTGAGACAAATGAAAGAACCTGAAATAATCCATGCATAAACAGAAACCATATTTGCAAAATGAGGAATGACAAATCCATGCAGAAATATTGCACTATCCTCTTTTCTATTGCATACCAGTATCTACAGTAGAATGCTTTATTACAGGGGTCAGCAACCTTTCAGAAGTGGTGTGCCGAGTCTTCATTTATTCACTCTAATTTAAGGTTTTGCGTGCCAGTAATACATTTTAACGTTTTTAGAAGGCCTTTTTCTATAAGTCTATAATATATAACTAAACTATTGTTGTATGTAAAGTAAATAAGGTATTTAAAATGTTTAAGAAGCTTTATTTAAAATTAAATTAAAGAGCAGAACCCCCCGGACCGGTGGCCAGGAACCGGCCAGTGTGAGTGCCACTGAAAATCAGCTCGCGTGCCTACTTTGGCACGCGTGCCATAGGTTGCCTACCTCTGCTTTATTACATAACTAAAACTTATATCCCTTTGCAAGCATTAGTATTTACAAGCAATCACACATATTTTTAGGTTATTTACCGCCTAGCTAATTACAGAGGTTTTGTGTAAAACATTAAGGAATTATCAGGATGGGATGCATTGTTAATTCCAATCACATGATGAGTGAAAGAACCATAATTTCTGTATTTCCCTCCTGCTAAGAAAAAAAAAGTCTAAAAAAATTGTGGCCACTTAGCTTGAAGAACTGTGGTTGCTATCTTTCTACTATGTATGGCAATCAGGTTTTAAATAATGATACTGGGGCTTACTACAATACTCCTATGACGGAGTATATGAAAGTGTGTGAGGGAAAGGTATCTGCACAGATTTTTACACGCATGTAGTTTACTTCTTGCAGGTCAGACTTAGAGTGTACCCACTCTACTCATGACTACAGAGGTGAGTTATTCCAGCCCTGGAGCTGTTATAATTCCCATTGGATTTAGGGACCTGAGTGGGGAGAAACTGTCCTTAGAACTGAGAAACTCCAGTTCCTCCTCCAGTCTTCCTGGGATGCTAATTCCATCTGCTTCTGCTGCCAGCCTCCATCCCCTGCCTCACGTGTCAGAACTGGCATGGGACACAAAGCAACATGGTGGTGAAGAGGATGGCAGCAGTGGGATGTAAGGTGTGTCAGGAGCATGAGATTCCCTGCTGGCTGGAATCGGGGGGGACACACATTTCTGTATTTCTGAGAGGCACCCACACAGGATAGGAAGTGAGGGGAGGGCTCTCTCAATAAATGGTAGTGGGAAGGATGGGGTAAAAATGGAAGACAGAGATGGGAGCAGAGTTCTTTTAGCTACTGCCCCTCAACTTTGAATTTTATTGTGTATGTTTCTCCTAAGGACCAAAGCAATTTTGATGAGCCTGTGTGACTCCACCACCTTGCCTCTCTTCCCACACAGCCTTCCAATTCTTTCCTGTTTAGAAAATTATTCAGATTTCCATATCTTGCCAATCTGCCTAAATATAACAGCAGTTATCTCTGTTGCAGTGACAGATGATGCTAATGCTGAAAAAACTGATTTGTAACAAAATGGATAACATTCATATGTTAACCTTCACCTTGGAAAACTCAGCTTCTACAAAACTCCCTTTATAATCTATCTGTATACTTTAAGCTCACATACAAACAGTACTGTTTCTTTCCAATTGTCGCGGGGTTGATACACCCCGTCACCCTGTGGGGGCAGGGGAGAGGTGCATCACATCGAGTTTGAAGGGGTGCCCCAGGTCTCGGAGCTGCGCAGCTCAGGGGCCTCAGTCCTTAATGCGGCCCTTGATAGCAGAGCAGTGTGGTGTAATGGCCAGAATCAATATTACAGCCCCTGCTGTCAGGGCAGTGCGGCTCAATGGCCAGAGACAATACTATAGCCCCTGTTGTTGGGGCAGTGTGGCACAACGGCCAGAGCCAGTACTACTGGCAAGGTGAGGTCCGACCGAAACACGCTGAGCCTTGGCCTGGTTCTGTTACCATTTCCCCACAAAACCTCCCTCAGTCACTTCCTACCCGAGTCTCTAGAGTTCTCTGTCTCTGGGATTCTCCGGTCTCTCCCCTCTCTCTGATGTCCTGTGTCGGGGTCCATCTCCACAGGGCTGGCCTCCGCATCTTGGAGTGCAGGCGGTCCTCCCTCAGGAGTTGGTGACACACCTCCATGGTCAGCCCAGACTGAGCTGCTCTGCTGGCTTTTATATCCTGCTTCCAGCTGGAGCATGCCCAGCAAAGCTGGGGGTGTGTGGCCTCCTCGGCTAAAAGAGAAGGGTTAACCCCTGCTGTACCAGTGTGGGGCTGATACACCCCATCACCAGGGCCGGCTCTAGGCACTGGCGCAGCAAGCTGGTGCTTGGGGCGGCCCATGGAAGGGGGCGGCACATCCGGGTCTTCGGCGGCAATTCAGCGGCGGATCCCTCAGTCCCTCTCGGAGGGAAGGACCGGCCACCGAATTGCTGCCGAAGAATGAAACAGCACGGTAGAGCAGCCGCTGAAGTGCCGCTGATCGTGGCTTTTTTGTTTGTTTTTCTCTTCGCCACTTGGGGTGGCAAAAAAGCTGGATCCTTTGTGCCTGGCAACTAGATAAAATATTAGCTCGTTCCCCACACCCCATAGGCCCCAAACAAAAGCCTAGTGAAGTAAATGGAAAGACTCCTCTTGATTTTAGTGGTCTTTGGATACAAAATTAACCACCTAAAACCTTCACCGCAGACAGATTCTTTGCTGTTTCCTCAGCTGTTGAATCTTCTTTTCAGAGTAAAATAGAATCATTATACATAATTCAAATAACCTTTTGCTCAGTTGCACTTGGTCTGATCTTTTGCAGTCACTTTTTCCCTGTAGAATTGCTTAATTGTATATAAATTAAACATAGCCAAGAAAAACAAATTAACAGAAGTGTGAATTTCTTTGCACTCAGTAAGTCCAATGAATATAAAGATTATTTTAGACCAAGGTTTAAAATTAATTATGTGATGACAAAAGCAAAGGCATGGTACAGAGTTGCCTAACTTTTCTATGTGAATATTAGAATATCATGTGTATAATTCCTAATGTTTTAATTCAGTCTGAGAATCAAGTCATCAGTACTGCCGACTTTATGTGTAAAATTCTTTTGCTCAGTCTTCCATCATCAGTCATTCTTTACATTTATTTAAAAATATATTTTGTTGCACTGTTTATAGATTTTGATTTATGTTCTTAATATTTAACATTTCTTTCTCTCTTTTTTCTAGAGCACACAAATTCTAAGGCTCCATCTAACCACTACCAGGTTTTCTTTAATTTCTTTTCATACTTTTTCATTGTCTGGCTTTCCATGTAGGTTTTTATTTCTTGCTTTTTTCAGTTTCATTAAAGATATTATTTTCTTTCAATATTTGCTAAAATATTTCATTATAAAACATAGGCAGAAAAAAAATCTAAGTGTTAGTTTTATAGAAATATTAATAGAACATTGTGTGATTCTTTAATTATAAAAGATACATTGAGGCTTTTTTGTCTTTAATTTGTATGCTAGGTGGTTGTTAATGCCCTGATAGGAGCAATTCCATCCATCATGAATGTGCTACTGGTTTGTCTGATATTCTGGCTAATCTTCAGCATCATGGGAGTAAATCTGTTTGCTGGCAAGTTCTACCACTGTGTTAACACAACAACTGGTGAGATGTTTGATATCAGCGATGTTGACAATTATACTCAGTGCGAGGACCTCATAAAAAAGAATGAAAGTGCCCGATGGAAAAATGTGAAAGTAAACTTCGATAATGTAGGCGCTGGGTATCTTGCACTGCTTCAAGTAGTAAGTGAATTTCTGTATTTTATATTGCTGTATTTGAAAAAAAGTATAAGTGAAATGGGCAACTTTCATCAAAGAGCAGGTTAATTTCTTCATATATAGTCAGAACCCTTAAAAAGATTCATATTACTGCAATTAAGATAGTAGTGGTACAAGAGGGATTCCCCACTCTAACATAGGAAATTCCTTCTTGTATTGATAGTCCCGAATGTTAAAAAGGTAAAAGGAGGCGTTTTGATGATGCACAAAACAATTGCACCCCCTGCAGCCTGGGGAGTGGGACTTAGTCTAGGCTGGCACAAGAAAGAGGGCTCTGTGGCTTTTTTAAGGGTCCCCCTCCCTCCCTTGTCCCTCTCCCCCCTCCTCATGCGAGTTCAGTTCCTTGTGGGTTTGGGAGGGGGGAAATGGAGCTGAGAAGAGGGCAGGCATCCTAGCTGATTGGCTGGTCTGAGGAGGGGTGCCCCAGAACCCACTGGCACCCCATGCACCCAAAGGGAGGGCACGTGTGCCCTTTCTCCTGGCCAGGGTGCCATTATATGCCCAGAATAACAAATCCCACCCTCCCATCCCTGGGATTATAGTAAGAACAGGTTTTCTGTGGGCATCGTGCTGGTCACCTGTTTGGGAGAGGGAAGGAATTTTCCCCTCACTGCCAGATTGGCAGGGGCAGGGCGGGTTTTTTAGTCTTCCCCACAGCAGCTCAGGGATCTGGTGGTTAGGTCAGGAGATACAGTTCAAACTGATAACTTGGCAGTTGTCCAGTGCAGATACTCATTCAATGGGATGGGAGTCGAGTTCCCTGGTAGACAGTAATTGGAAGTGGAGTTAGGGGACGGCCTCTCCTAAAGAAGATGGGGAATCGGGATGGAGCTCCTAATGTCTGATTCAACAAGAAGAGAACCCACTTTTCTGTAGCCCCTTAATCCTTGTACACATGGAGGGTGGTAAGATCCCAGCATCAGGCAGGAACCAGTTGTGGAGACCTAACCTCCACTAGGTGAACAAATCATGGAAGGAAGGAAGGATGACCTGCTCTGGACAAGTTATTGCAGGATAGTCCCTAGATGAGTTACATTAATAAATGTGTGGCCCACTTAAACCACATCCCTTGGGCCTTGTCTTTCTTCCTGCATGGCTGGGACAAACAGTGGTTGCCACTAAAAAATCTATACAATTGTCATTTACAAATAATTAAAGCAAGGGAAACTACACTAACATTAATTAGGTAAATAGGATCATTCTAAAAATGTTTTAAGGAGGACAAATGTACTAAAGACTCATAACTTTCCTATTGGATTAATATGTATAATACAGCTCTACACAGTACAGTAACTCCTCACTTAAAGTCATCCTGGTTTACGTTGTTTTGTTGTTACGTTGCTGTTCAATTAGGGAACATGCTCGTTTAAAGTTGTGCAATGCTCCCTTATAACATCGTTTGGCAGCCTCCTGCTTTGTCCACCGCTTGCAGGAAGAGCAGCCCGGTGGAGCTATCTGGTGGGGGCTTGTAACCAGGGTGGACCCCCCGCCCATCAGCTCCCCGCTCCTCTAAGTTCCCTGTGCGGCAGCCGCCCAGCAGGCTATCAATTGCCGGGCAGTTCAACTGCCCCTCCCCCCACTGCCATGTGCTGCTCCTGCCCTCTGCCTTGGAGCTGCTCCCCGAGCCTCCTGCTTGCTGTGCAGGGGGAGGGAGGGGAGAGCTAATGTCAGGGTGTCCCACTCCCCCCTACTCCTACACCCTGCTTACCCTTTCTCCATATAGAGCAGGGTGGGGACAGGGACGGAGAGAGACAGAGAGCTTGGGGCAGCAGCTGCTGTCTCAACTTCCTGATCCACTTACAAGACAATGCACTTAAGAGGGGTCAGCCTACTTAAAGGGGCAGTGTGCATTTCTCGCTCTCCCCCCCACACAAGGTGTGTGTCTGTTTCTGTCTGCTATGCTGTCTCCCCTTCCCTCCATTCCTGCTGCCTTGTAGAGTGCCAGAGGCTACATTAACAACAATGTGTTAACCCTTGAGGTCTCAGCCAAGTGCTGGTTCATCATTTAGCAGTAAGGCATTCCCTGGGAAATATCCCACCCTCTTCCACCCTCTAACTTCACTACCTCAACCAAGCTTCACAATCATTATAGCTGTGAACAGTATTAAATTGTTTAAAACGTATACTGTGTGTATGCTATATGTAGATATAGTTTTTAGAATAAAAAATTTCCCTGGAACCTAACCCCCACATTTACATTAATTCTTATGGGGAAATTGGATTCACTTAACATCGTTTTGCTTAAAGTCGCATTTTTCAGGAACATAACTACGCCTCTACCCTGATATAACGCTGTCCTCGGGAGCCAAAAAATCTTACCCCATTATAGGTGAAAACGCATTATACTGAGCTTGCTTTGATCCGCTGAAGCGCACAGCCCACCCCCCTGGAGTGCTGCTTTACTGCATTATATCCGAATTCGTGTTATATCGGGTTGCGTTATATTGGGGTAGAGGTGTACAACATTAAGCGAGGAGTTACCATATATTAAATGAATAGTGAAGTATTAGAAATCACATTTTATGGTACTGCCTGGTTATACTCATTTTACCCAATACTGTTACTTAAAATGGGCAATAATTGCCACTTTTTCCATACAAAAAAACCTCCTAATGATATCACTGAAGCTTTTTAGCAAAAATTAAGGGCCACATATGGTGCATGGTGAAGGGATGAAGTGGTAGCATACATATGATCGGAACATTTTTAGTATAGCTGATAACTATTTATGAAAAAGTGTAGGAAACTAATACTAGATACATATACACCTCTACCTCGATATAACGCTGCCCTCAGGAGCCAAAAAATCTTACCGCATTATAGGTGAAACCGTGTTATATCAAACTTGCTTTGATCCACTGGAGTGCGCAGCCCCACCCCCCCCCAGAGCACTGCTTTACCGCGTTATATCCGAATTCGTGTTATATCGGGTCGCGTTATATCGGGATAGAGGTGTAATTGTATTATATGAGTGTTTTTATTGTGGTATAAACTGTGCTGGCATGAATTTGTGTTTTCAAAAAAAGATTATTAAGAGATGTGCTCTAGTAATTTTGTAGGGCCTGGATTTTTACAGGTAAATAAACACTTGTGTTCCATTTCCAGGCTACATTTAAAGGATGGATGGATATTATGTATGCAGCTGTTGATTCACGAGATGTAAGTAGAATATAACTTTTAAGACCATTTATATTTGTTGAATATATTCTGACATTCCGCACATGTAATGAAATTTTAATAGCTATATTGAATTGTATTGAAAATATTGAACAGTAATGACATCGATTCACTGATTATAAAGCCAAAACTACAATTTTAATCAACTAATGATATTTCCTACATAACATAGGCTATAGAATTTCACAAAGCAATTCCTGCAATCGAGGGAATTAATCTTCCTTATTTCTATTAAGCCCGATAATTTGTAGTTTAGGGTTACCATACATCCGGATTTCCCGCGGGGCGGGGAAGGGGCAGAGTTGGGGCGGGGCCGGGGGTGGGGCCGGGGCCCCGTGGAGTATCCTCTTTTTTAAATGTTTGAATATGGTAACCCTATTGTAGTTGAATTAGTCTGTTTAGATTATTTTTTAGAAAACCATCTAGCCTCAATTTAAAGATGCCAAATGGTGATGGATTAAACACTGCCTTTGGTAATCATCTGTGTGAATTGTTAAAAAAAAAGTGATATTCAGGAAACGCATACATTGAATATAGAGGAACATGCAACCTTGTTTCAAAATTGATAATTAGAAGGTCACACACTTCATTGCTCATGTAGACTGGGCACTGTATGTTGCCCAACTTATTCGATGCAAATCACTTTTCAGGGTTGAGGAGCATCTGAGAAGGTATCCAAGGGGGATAGAAATAGTATTTTTCAATTCACCTCATACAAGTACTGTAAAGAAATCTCTATTGTGAAAGTACAACTTACAAATGTAGAATTTATTTTTACATAACAGCACTCAAAAACAAAACAATGTAAAACTTTAGAGCCTACAAGTTGAAGCATGAAGGGGCATACAAATGTTTAGCATATCTGGCATGTAAATAACTTGCAACACCAGCTACAACCATGCCATGCGAACGCCTGTTCTCACTTTCATGTGACATTGTAAATTAGAAGCGGGCAGCATTATCTCCCGTAAATGTAACCAAACTTGTTTGTCTTAGCCATTGGCTGAACAAAAAGTAGGACTGAGTGGACTTGTATGAGGTGAATTGAAAAATACTATTTTATCTTTTTTACAGTGCAAATATTTGTAATAAAAAATAATAATGTAAAGTGAGCACTGTGCACTTTGTATTCTGTGTTGTAATTGAAATCAATATATTTGAAAATGTAGAAAAACATCCAAAAATATTTATAATAAATTTAAATTGGTGTTCTACTATTGTGTAACAGGGTGATTAAAACTGCGATTAATTGAGACTATTTTTTTCTAATTTCGTGATTAATTGCTAATTTTTTTTTTTATTGTTTGACAGCCCTAGTTGTTACACTGGAAGTTGTTAATGGTTGCCGTCAATCACAGACCTAGTTAAAGCTGATGTGTGTGCCGGCCCCCACTTCCTCCTCCCCATGTACCAGGGTCCCCCATTCTTCCCCTATGCTGGGAATTGGGTGTCCCCATTTCCCCCTCCCCACAAACAGAGACTGAGAGACAGAGAGAAATCCCATCTAGTTGAGTGCAAGCTTCACTTTGCTAGGCAAATAAAATATATTGCTAATATAAAGTAGTTAAGTATACTATCTATCTATACTATGGTATCTGTATCTATCTATCGCCTCTTGCCATGAGTTGCTGCTTTATGAATTAAATGCAATTTTTTATTCTCAGTGTTCATGCAGATAATATATAAATGTATAATGTTTTATAGCTACTAGATCAGCCTAAGTATGAGGACAACCTGTACATGTATCTTTACTTTGTCATCTTTATCATCTTCGGATCATTCTTCACCCTGAACCTTTTTATTGGTGTCATCATAGACAACTTCAATCAACAAAAAAAGAAGATAAGTATTTCAAGTATTTATTTACTACTTTAAAAGTGAACAAGATATAATAAAAGCTATGAATCCCCAAGTCTATTTCCCTTTTAGACATTCCTTAAAGAGAACCAATGACTTGTTCTCTGTAAAGATGATGAACACACAATTTATTTTCAAGTATCTAAATAAATTCACCTTCTGCCTGGTCCTATTTTTGTAATGAAAAAATTTGCTGCCATGGATATGACTGCAACATCATAATTTCAGCACTTTGACTTCACTGCAAGAAGACAAGAGAAAGCAGGCAACAATATTTTTGTACAAATATGTTCACAGAAATTTGCAAATTGTGCAAGAAAATTTACAATAAATAAGCAAAAGAGGAACATGTGTGTTATCACTCTGATTAGCAGGAAAGTTAGCCTCTTGGAAAAAGTCCCTCTTTAAAATTAATCAGATGTGCTTACTACTTAAATAATTATCATTCAATGAAGTATAGCCACAAGTGGCGGGAGGGACTAGCCACCCCAAGTACAATCCCATCCACGATCCTAGGCACGTACTTGGCACCTGTCCCCACTACTCGCACCACTGGGACTATACTTCTATTTTTAGTGTGCTAGCTCGATCAGAGCTAGCGTGGGTATGTCTCCTCAGGCTGGAAATTACACTTTCCAGCTCCAGTGTAGACATAACATAAATAAAGTGTATATAACATAAATAAAATAGAAAAAAACAAGTAAGCAACTACAAATCCAATTCTACAAGCCTTTATAAGAATAAGTCCCATTAATTCCAACAGGATTTATCACAGGAGTAAAGCTTATTAAGGTTCTGTAGGAATGAGCCACATGATTCTGACCTATTCAATTATAGGAAATGGGAGGAATTTGTAAACCATATTTAACCCTCCTTTAATTTATAGTTCATTGGAAAGGTGGAAAAAAGGTAAGAAAACAATGGGAAATTTTATTTTTTTCTCTGAATCTGTTGAACTTTCAAGTAATTTTAAAATAATTTACTTAAAAATAATTGGAGACCCTAGGATCCTTAGTACGGTAATTCTTCAGATGTCTGATGGAACTAGCGGCCTGAGTATCATCTTAAATGTCTGTGTTTGCTGTGAAAATCCTTTGGCTTCAGCTGTGGCCACTCTAATCAATTAATGAGATAAAACGTTTCCATTCTACTCCCAGCTGAGTCTAAGGCAAAACTCGGCTGTGAATGAACATCTTTAAACAGTCAGGATTTCTCTTCAGAATAACTGCAGACCAACCTGCAGCTTCTTCGGATGCTTCAAGGGGCAAATGCCAAGACTTGAGGCTTAAGTTTCCAGTTTAATAGACACTGACAGCCTCTAAATTTAACACTGGACTTCCATTGAATTGTGTCCATAATCAACTAACACAAATGTTAGAATGCTGAAAGCACCCACAAATCAAATAGTCAGATATTTGACTGGTAGCATTTGTACCTGCAAAATGGAGGCTAATGTGAAAAACAAATAACAGGCCCTGAAAGTCTTAGGCTTTGTCTACACTAAAGACTTCTACAAATATAGCTATGTCAGTCGAGGATGGGGTGACCAGATAGCAAGTGTGAAAAATCGGGACAGGGATGGGGGTCTGGTCACCCTAGTCGAGGATGTGAAGAGGTGATCCCTAACCAACAAAGCTGTGCTGGCAGAAGTCCTTTGTACAGACTCAGTTACACCAGCAAAACTGAACTTTTACTGGAGTAACTTGTTTCATTCCAGGGCACTAGTTTTGCCATACCAGTATAAAGCACAGCTTTACTGGTATAGGTGCATCACACTAGAAGCACTTTTCTGGTATAGATTACAGTATTCTTATACAAGTAAAGCACTCCTAGTCTAGATAAAACCCTTAAAATGGATAGGGGCTCCAGTTTGTTTGGATTTTTTTTAATTCATGTCTTCCTATGACAGAATGCTCCGTGATCCCCCAGAGTATCACTCCATTTTGCTTGTTTCGTAAACTAACTGTATAGACTATGATCCCAATGGTGACCCGCATCCACGCTGTGTTTGGAACAGTTCAGGAATGAGGCAGAGGATGGTTCTAAGGTGGTTTTGTGCCACCATTAAGCCCCCCCAATCCTGGAGCCAGCCAGGAAGAGGCTAGTGCAGTGGTTCTCAAACTTTCGTACTGGTGACTGCTTTCACACAGCAAGCCTCTGAGTGAGACCCCCTAGGTGTGGAAGGTGACAGCTCGTGACCCCCCCATGTAATAACCTCGTGACTCCCTGAGGGGTCGTAACCCCCAGCTTGAGAACCCCTGGGCTAGTGCTAGTGCAGAACTCCTGGGCTAGTGAGATGCCCTAATTTATATCTGGCTCACTGTCACCTGAAGAATCATTCCAGCAGTCTGAGACTGTGAGGGCACAGAAATGCTCTAGCCATGCCCCTTTCCTGCAGACACATGCTCAGTGTCAGGGACTGGGAACAGGTAAGAGCAGAAACTGCTGTAGTGGTCTTATGTTACTGGGGAGTAGGGAGAGGTGGTTTTGCAAACACTGGAGGAATCGTCCCACTACCAGTGGAAGTGATCATTGGGATATACTTTGTGCTGACAGAGCTGTTCAATAACACTCGTATGATACCTGAAAATTGCCCTTTTAGTATATAAATCAAATGTAAACTCAAATGTACATCACTAAACTATATGGTGACATACAATAGTTAGAGGTTATGTCTGTAAACATGGTTGTAACCAGTTTTGATCTCATTTCCTTACTTTGGAGGTCAAGACATATTTATGACAGAAGAACAGAAGAAATACTACAATGCAATGAAAAAACTGGGGTCCAAGAAACCACAAAAACCTATACCTAGGCCAGCGGTAAGAGTGCCTTTATTTTCATGCCTCCTGCATTAAATACCCATTGTAAAGTAGTGGCCCAAGCCTCCACCCTGATGCTTACTCCTTTTAGTGGCTTCTCCCCTCTCCTCACATGGGTTGGATCTTGGGTTCTTTTTCTGACACCTAGTGCCTCTACCCAAAGTGACACCACATTGTGTCTGAGACACAAGCAGTGCAGTCCCTTGGGAAAATGAATAATGCTACTAACAGACAAGGAGTATAAAACCCAATGCACAAGAAACAATATATAACAAGTCAAAGTTCAGCAAAGGAATGACGCACCCAAAAATAACTGTGTAACAAAGGGGGACTTTACTGGAAACAGGAAAATAAGAACTGGGGATGAAAGGATTAGGGTTAACTAGTAGGTACTAAACATTAACAAATCAATTAATTTCCTACCTCGCAACACTCACAACTCTTCCCACCCCCCACCTCCCTCCCTAGCACTTCCCATGTAGATGGTATGCTGAGGAGGAGTCCAGAGATGAGTGCTGCAGTGCTGTGAATGTTAGCTAGCTTAAACAAAAAAGGGTCCCCTTACTTAACCCCTGGGTGGGGCAGAGTCTTTTCCTGGCTGCTACCAGCCTCACTGGCTTCCTGGTGTCGGCTGGCTCTCAGTAGCCAGTGCCAGGTTGGATCTCTGCCACTCTGGACACTGGTTTCCACAGAGCATGAATGGCCTGATCCATGCAACTTTCCCACAGCAGTTCAAAGTACAGTATATATGTGGTAGAGGGAACCAGTTTTTTCCATTATTTTCATTAAAGAGGTAGAATTTTCTCCTTGCCCCTATTTTTTTGAGAGTTAGCTTACTTGAATAACTAGGGCTGTTCTCATATTTTCTTTAAGAACATATACATTGGACATATGAAATGGGGGATTCCCTAGATACCTGTGCTAAGTTTCATGATGCACTATGTAATTTAGCTGAGTCCCAGGGCAGCTGCAGTCAATTCTGGCTGCTTATTGCTTTTGCTAACCTGGAGGGAGAGGGGATCTTTCCTAACCTTGACTTCCTGGTCTTCTCACTCCAGAAGACCTTTGCAGGAAATGGGGATGCACTGGCCCTTACTGGGAGTTCCATAAAGACCTGCAATAAGGGAGAGTGATAGTGGCAACTTGGTGGGCTTTGAAGACAAAGACAGAGGGGAGCAGACCCTAATTACCCCCGACCTCAAAGACAACTAAGGAGGGCCTGTCAGGAAGTGTGGGAAGAGATGAAACTGTGTTCATAGATGTTCAATTTCCACGAGGCTAAATCTTTATGTGAGCTACCTGATGTGGTGAACCAGATACTGTATTGTTTGATGAACTGTTCCACTCAACCCCTACAACTTTTGGAAAATAATACTTCTTGCAGAAGCTATCCACTACAGCAAATTAAATAATAGTCAAACTGGAAGGACGTATGTAGTCATCAAACTAAGTAATGCATAACCTGGGGTGATGGAACCAGTAAGTAAGGGATATAACTTTAACCATTCAACTAAGTCAGTGAGCACAATCAGTGAAGGGCAGTTACACAGAATAGAGGCTGGGAGATAACATTTCCTGTTCCTGGAGCACAGACTGGTGAAAAAGGTGGCCTTTGACTTTCCTAATCTTTATTCCTCACAGCATTGCCATCAACCCTCCAGCCAATAGTGATTCCCTTCTTGCTCACCTCTGACAACTTGTTCAGCCACAAGTCAAAAGGGGGGAAAGGATAAGTTACCCTCTGGGCTGTGAAGGTGGATCAGTTTACCAACTCCTCTTCTACAAAGCTAATTCCTGCCAAGCTACAGAGAATTGCTCTCCCCGAATTTGCAATTTGTAAGGAAAAACATATTTTCAAACTTTAAATAGTATTTGTTTTTGTTTTTGCAGAACAAATTCCAAGGCCTGGTCTTTGATTTTGTAACAAAACAAGTATTTGACATCAGCATCATGATTCTTATCTGCCTTAACATGGTCACCATGATGATAGAAACAGATGACCAGAGTGATGAGATGGAAACTATTTTACACAGGATAAACCTGGTATTCATTGTCCTTTTCACTGGAGAATGTGTCCTGAAATTGATTTCACTCCGTTATTACTACTTCACCATAGGCTGGAACATTTTTGATTTTGTGGTTGTCATTCTCTCCATTGTGGGTAAGAACAGTTCACTTTTATCAAGGGGCTATGTGAGCAGAAAGTGAACATTTCCTTTAATGATTTTATGATGCTTTATATATAGCTTTGTCATTTGCTATATGGCCTACAATTCAATTTAGATAGCAATTCTTCAGTTTTCATTTTTATAGTACAATGTGCATAAAATGATGCATGTAAGAGCATTTTTACCAATCTGATTTGGTTTATTGTAATTTGAAATGTCAGAATCTGTATTCAGGAGCAAAACTGAGTATGTGAACAGAGAGGGATTTTTTTAATCATCATGTAGGCTAAATATTTAGAGTTCAGTTAGCGAAAAGGCAATGAATCTCAATGGTGCAATTTGTGACAGTTCACGACACTTCAAGGTGATGTGGAATTGTTTTTGCAGATGTTCTGATGGACCTCATAGGGTATGTCTTCACTGCAATGAAAAATCCTGAGCTGGGCTCGGCCTAAGGGGATTATTTAATTGTGGTGTAGACGTTTGGGCTCGGGCTCCATCCCAAGCTCTAGGACCTTCCCACCTCACAAAATCCTAGAGCCCGGGCTGCAGCCTGAGCCAAACATCTACACCGCAATTAGACAGCCTCTTAGCCTGAGTCAGCTGGCATGGGCCAGCAGTGGGTGTCTAATTGCAGTGTAGACATACCCATAGTGGCTTTGTGGAGCACTCTGCAGAGCCTGAGGTACAAATTCCAACAACTTGCATGAGCTCACCCTACTTTTCATCTAATTATTACTGTTTGATATAAAAGGCTTGTAGGAGACTGAGTTGCAAGAACTAATGCACTCAGAAAGAAATTTCTGTTTCTAGGCTTCCTTATGAGTTGATGCAAAGTTTAGATAGGAACGAGCTATCTTTGCTGTAAGCAACCTTCTTTCTCTCACTCATTTCCCTTTTCCTGGAGGGTATCTTTACTTGGTATAATCTGTACAGAAGGAAACCACAGTGTCACAGCCTCCAATGTAACATTTTTACAATTAAATAAAACAGTCCATGTGACGTGAAAGCTATTATCTTCTTTTCAGTGAAGGTTGATATTAACTTTCAGCATTTAAAATAAAGAACTTACTGTTCTGATTTTTTCTGACGCAGCGATAAATATTTCCACAAATAATGAGTTAATATACTTTAAGAGCTGCTATTGTATTATTTACTTTACAATGTGAATTTTTTGTTTTAACAGGTATGTTTCTAGCTAAGGTGATTGAAAAATATTTTGTGTCCCCCACCTTGTTCAGAGTTATCCGACTCGCCAGAATCGGCCGAATCCTACGTCTCATTAAGGGAGCTAAAGGGATCCGTACTTTGCTTTTTGCTTTGATGATGTCTCTTCCTGCTTTGTTTAACATTGGTCTCCTGCTTTTCCTGGTCATGTTTATCTATGCTATATTTGGAATGTCCAACTTTGCCTACGTTAAGAG